TTGCATTCATGGCGGGTCAGACCGACCCTCACGTCTCGCTCTTCTCAGCGCAAGATGTAATTCTTCTTCTTTGTTTGTTTATGCGTATGTGTGATTTTTAGTTTCTGTAATCGTGCGATTGATTTTGAGTTTTGTCGACCAGGTTGAGTTTATGGCCGAGAGCGAATCGGTGGAGATTGTTCCGAATATGAACATGGATCAACTCAATTTTATCTGTGTAAGCTTAAATTTCAGTCCTTGATCATTCGATTTGAGATTTCTGCCTTCGAATTTTGGTTGTGCAGAGATGTGTCAATGGTTTTCGATCTGATACCTTGTTTAAATATGTGATGTTGGTCTCGGTGCGTGGATCGGTGACAGGGAGATTTCGGGCGATTTCTTCCGCAGATTCCGACTCAGGTGCCGCTTTGGCTTGCAGTGGCACTGAAGAAGAGAGGGAAATGCACCATCCGGCCTCCCCAGTGGATGTCCATTGGTAAGGCGAGCATTTTGCAGAATATGCTTTACATCAATGTGAAAGAGAGTCATAGTTGTAATGCTGTTTGACGATTCTACATTATGAACCAGAAAATTTGACAAGGATCTTGGAAGGGGAACGGGAATCGCAGACGACATTTCAGCCATTACCGTTTCATTATGTGGAGATTTCCAGATTACTTTTCGACCAGTAAGTTTAGATTTTTCGTACTGGTTCGTCTTTCTTAGCCACTTAACACCTGAGGTAACTGATGGAAATTGGATATTTTGATCGATGGCAGTGCTCGTGATGATATCCCGGACATTTATATGGTGAGTTTGTACTTCTTTTGAAGCATAACCCTGTTCTTAACCATGTGTTCTTAGTGTTTTGAAACTTAAACTTGCTTGGGTTTCTACAGGTAAGGTCACTCGTCGAGGACATCAGAGATGTGCGGCTTCATAAACTTGAGACTAACCTTGGGTCATTCAGTGGAACATCTGCAGTAAAGGTAACTGTTTTCAATGCCTCCTCCTAAGTTATATCTTACTGATTGATTGGAGTTGTCGATGCTTTTAAAAAAATTCTGGAGGATATTTAAATAGGATCATATTCTTACAAGGAAGCCGTCTTAAAGGGGATGATAGTTCAGTGCTTATTCTGGAAGATATGCTCCCTCATATTTGATTGTGAAACTGATGGATAAGTTATGGATAACTTTATCTATGTTAGTATTTGGTGTTTTAAACATCGCAAGTAATACTCATCAGCGAGTTTTCTACGACCCTTGATGCAATCAGCTGATACGATACTTGACGGGAATACGCGTATGCCTTACGTAGGCTAATGTTTATGTCAGCGACTCACTTAGACACTTACCCTGTTAATAGATAACCCAAATGGAGAAAGTCACAATCTATGCTTAGATATGTCGGGCTTGATGTACTTTTCTCCGTTAAAACTCGCTTTGAACGGTTTGTTTGCATCGAGGATCCGCCATCCTTGTCGTTCATCGGGTAGGCTGATGACTGCATATCTAATTGAAATGTTTTTGCTTCCATAACACTGTCTCCTAACACGAGATTTGCAGATTTCAAACTTATCGGCTATGGAAGTGAATCTAGTCCGTCCGTTTGTTAGAAGAGCCTTGGAGGCATTCTATAAGCACGATAAGCCCGAGCCTGCGCAAGATCGAGATGCAAGAACTAGTAGACAACAACGGCAAGCCAGCAATGAGCCGAGGGTGAGTTTGTTTCCCATCATATCTCGAATATAATCTCTATATATCGTTATTCCGAGAGAGATAACGCTCTGTTTTGCAGCGTCCTCTGAGGCAACGTTAAGGATCCGTGAATCGTGATCGGCTATTGCCCCCCCCGAAGATCGATATTTCAGGAGGTATAGCCCCCTTGTTCTCATTCTCTTCTCTATCTTTGCAAAACATCGTCTTGTGGGTTGTCTTAAGACACCAGCTACTCCTTGTTTCTTTTGAATTCATGTGTCACTCTTTCGTTGGTTGGAAAACACAAACAAAGATTCAAATTTGTGTGGTTATTTGACATAGTTTTCTGGTGCAATTGTTGAAGAAAAGATGACTATGGCATTTTCTCGACTCTCGAAAAAAGCTGGGGAAAAAAAAATCAAAACCTTCTCACTCAGGCAGCAGTTATCTTGAAAACGAGGAAATCACGTCGATCTTTTTATTTATAAATTATTGGAGAAAAATGAAGGTTGGAATATATATATATATATAAGTTTTTTTTTATGAAATATATAAGTTTGTTTAAGAAATACATACAAACTTTAATAATACGATTATTTTTGTTGTAATTATTATCAAATTATTTAATTCGACTGGATTTTTATCATCAAATTCTTTAAAAATGCATAAAATATAGTACACAATGAATTCGGAATTCCATTTGATTAAAGAACTATAATTTCAAATTATAAAATAAAATCGCGGAGAAAAAGAGAGCCATAATTTCAAAACTTTAGACCCTTTTACCAAAAAAAAACTTTAGACCCGAAGGAAAAAAAGAAAAAAGAGAAAAGAAAAGAAAACGGTCACTTTAGGCGCTCGTGACATAAAAACGGTCACTTTTTTTGGCGGGTCTTCAGGCGTTTTCGGATTGGTTAACGAACGACGTCTCATCGTTCTGGGAGAAATCAGAGCCCTGAATAATTCCACGCGCTCTCCGATTGGCGCGTCGCTCTCACGCTCCGGTGGTCCCGCACACAGCGGGCGATACGTTCTATGGCCAAGCGTTACGGATTGTCCAAGGGACCGCACATGGTTTTCTTCTGGGTTTGGCTCCAGGTGTCGATCTTCGTTCGCCACGTTTGGCCGAGTTGCAGAGCCTCTACAATGGCTTCCATGGTCTTTCTCTGGTATATAAATGGTAGGTTTCCTTCTACAGCCCCTCTCCCTCTCTCTTCGATTCTGCGTTTTCTTGGTTCTTTTGTTTTTGGTTTGCCTTCTTTGTGTTTGCGTTTTTGCCTCTGAGACGAAATCATGCCGACGGGTAGGTACGAGACCATGCGTGAATGGGTCCACGACGCCATCTCTGCTCAGCGCAACGAGCTCCTCTCGCTCTTCTCCAGGTCACTCTCACGCATGCTGTCGCTCCCTGCATTATATTTGTGTATACATGGATATATATGCGCTGAGATACGTGAGTTTTATGGCGGGATTACATTTTAGTAGAACCCTGATGCAAAAGTTGTGAGCTTTAATGGTGGCGACTATTAACATGATGAACATAGGAGAGATTTGTACCTAACCGTTTCATTTGTTTTGTCATCGTAATAAAGATGAAGTACAATGAGTTTTATCTACATAATTAAGCGGCTGATTAAGATTAAGCACACTAATCCCGTTAAGCATTCACATAGTCAAATATCTCGGATTTACTTGTTGATATTGGTTGTATCCTTGTTGATACACTGTGTTTAGGTACGTGGCTCAGGGAAAGGCGATACTGCAGTCACACCAGCTGATTGATGAGTTTCTTAAGACTGTGAAAGAAAATGAAACAACTAAGGATCTAAATGACAAGCCATTCATGAAAGTTTTGCAGTGTGCTCAGGTTAGCATTTGATTATCTGGGGCAACTCGTAATGCTTTCCAAACCTTTTTATTCATCAGAGCTTATACTACACTAGTTTGCATGATGAGTAATATATACACATGAGTATGCGCATAATGTAAATGTTCATTGATTTTTAATATGGAATTCAGGAAGCCATAGTTTTGCCTCCATTTGTGGCAATGGCTATCCGTCCAAGACCTGGTGTTAGGGAATATGTTCGTGTAAACGTCTTCGAGCTCAGCGTTGATCATTTAACTGTTTCCGAATATCTTCGGTTTAAGGAAGAACTCGTTAATGGAAAGTAAGTATATGGTGTGTGCAATTTTTTTTGTGATATGAGCCTATAAGAAGATCTGCTTGCGTGATTAAAGTTTCAACCTTTTTCACCAGTGCCAATGGAAATTATCTTCTTGAGCTTGATTTTGAGCCGTTTAATGCGACATTTCCACGCCCAACTCGATCATCATCCATCGGCAATGGGGTTCAGTTCCTCAACCGTCACCTCTCGTCGATTATGTTCCGTAACAAAGAAAGCTTGGAGCCTCTGCTTGAGTTTCTCCGAACCCACAAACATGACGGTCGTGTAAGTTTTCTCCATCAGTATCTGTATATTCTTGATGGAGACCTCAGTATGCATATAATATTGTCTCTCTGTATTCGCAGCCAATGATGTTGAACGATAGAATACAGAGCATCCCCAAGCTTCAGGCTGCCCTGGCAAGAGCAGAGGAGTTCCTCTCTAAGCTCCCTCTTGCTACACCATACTACGAGTTCGAATTTGAGTACGTTAATTCTCTATTACCATTTTGGAACTCTTGAATTCGAATACGAATGACAAAATTATTGCCTTTATCTTGGTGAAGATTACAAGGAATGGGATTTGAAAGGGGATGGGGTGATACAGCTCAGGGGGTCTCAGAAATGGTGCACCTCCTCCTGGACATTCTCCAGGCACCTGATCCTTCTGTCTTGGAGACCTTTCTCGGAAGGATCCCTATGGTGTTTAACGTTGTGATCTTGTCTCCGCATGGATACTTTGGCCAAGCCAATGTCTTGGGTCTGCCAGATACTGGTGGACAGGTAGAAACTTCATTTGAAATCTTCTCTGCATCCTAGAAATTGGAGTTTTCACTTCTTTTTGTTCCTTACAGAATCACTGACTCAAATCTTTCAGGTTGTCTACATTCTTGATCAAGTTCGTGCCTTGGAAAACGAGATGCTTCTTAGGATACATAGACAAGGACTGGACGTTGTCCCAAAAATTCTCATAGTATATTCTCTTGTTTAACTATCTACATCGTTCAATCTCCATGGGAGAAATTCTTGCATTCTGAACGCCAAGTTAATATATATCCATCAAAAAATTGAAACAGAAGTGGTTGCTTTCTTTAGGTAACAAGGTTGATACCTGATGCAAAAGGAACTACTTGCAACCAGAGGTTGGAGAAAGTTAGCAGTACAGAGCACTCCCATATTCTGAGAATACCATTTAGGACTGAGAATGGCATTCTTCGCAAGTGGATTTCGAGATTTGATGTCTGGCCTTATCTCGAGACTTTCGCAGAGGTGGCCACTATATCCAGCCTTCTTTTTAAGTGTTTCTTCCTTATTTTCACAGTGAAAGTGTGAATTTTTTTTTTCCTGTTGGCTAACTTTTTGTTTTTATTTTGTTTCTTTACATATTGATTAGGATGCATCAAACGAAATTGCTGCAGAGTTGCAGGGCGTTCCGGATCTCATCATCGGCAACTACAGCGACGGAAATCTTGTGGCTACTTTGTTAGCTGGCAAGCTTGGCGTTACACAGGTTGATGTGATGGGTTTTGTGCTAGACAGTTTTTCTTCGAAAATTGTTAAAAGATGTGTGTTCTGATCTCTCCTTTCTTTAAACGTGCAGTGTAATATTGCCCATGCTTTAGAAAAAACCAAGTACCCGGATTCTGACATATACTGGAGAAACCATGAAGAGAAGTATCACTTTGGAAGTCAGTTCACAGCTGATCTAATAGCCATGAATAATGCAGATTTCATCATCACTAGCACATACCAAGAAATCGCTGGAAGGTTACAGATTTTGCCCTGAGATTCTTCTATTCATGTTGCTTTCTCTGATCTTATTTGGTTGGTAGCAAAAAGCAACTATTTTTGTTTTTCTTTTGTCACAGCAAGAACACTGTTGGGCAATATGAGAGCCACACGGCTTTTACCCTTCCTGGCCTATATCGTGTCGTTCACGGTGTAGATGTCTTCGATCCTAAGTTCAATATCGTGTCTCCTGGAGCTGATATGACCATATACTTCCCGCACTCTGATAAAGAAAGAAGACTCACTGCTCTTCACGAGTCTATTGAAGAACTCCTTTACAGCACTGAACAGAATGATGAGCATGTGTAAGTACAAGGCTATAATTAACCGATTACTCGAAATCTTGTTCAAGTTCATATCTTGCAGAGTATATAACTGGCCGGGTCTGCGCCTTTCACATGTTGATGCAGTTCCTTCTTGAGGGACAGATCGAAGCCAATCATCTTTTCCATGGCAAGACTCGATAGGGTGAAGAACTTGACTGGATTAGTTGAGTGCTATGGCAAGAACAGAAAACTGAGAGAGATGGCGAATCTTGTTGTGGTTGGTGGCTACATCGACGTGAAGCAGTCAAGGGACAGAGAAGAAATGGACGAGATACAAAAGATGCATAGTCTCATCGAGCAGTATGATTTGCATGGTGAGTTCAGATGGATCGTTGCCCAAATGAACCGTGCTCGTAATGGTGAGCTCTACCGTTATGTCGCTGACACAAAAGGCATTTTCGTTCAGGTAACCATGACATGATAAAACTCCCCATAAAATCCATGAGATTTGAGATTTCTTTTTTTAGGTTGCTCAAACACAATCATTTCACGTTTCTTTTCTCCTTTTTCCTCCCCCTCCAGCCTGCTTTCTATGAAGCTTTTGGACTCACGGTTGTGGAAGCCATGACTTGTGGGCTCCCTACATTTGCTACCTGCCATGGAGGCCCTGCAGAGATAATCGAGAACGGGATTTCGGGATTCAACATTGACCCGTATCACCCAGACCAAGTCTCAGCTGATTTAGTCAACTTCTTCGAGACCTGCAAGACTGATCCAACTCACTGGGACAAAATCTCGGAAGGAGGGCTCAAACGAATCTACGAAAGGTGCAAACTTAAAAAAAAAAACGAAAACAATCTTCACACTCAGCCACTGAACATGATGATGGATTCTTTCTTCATAACCATTTACGCAGGTACACATGGAAGAAGTACTCGGAGAGGCTGCTTACACTGGCGGGCGTCTATGGCTTCTGGAAACATGTCTCTAAGCTTGAAAGGAGAGAGACCCACCGTTACCTGGAGATGTTTTACTCTCTCAAGTTCCGTGATTTGGTCTGTTAGCTCTTCTTTCTTCTTCTTCTTCTTCACCATTCGGTTTGGAACCAACATTTAAAAAAAATGAAATGGTGTTTTTTTTTTTCTGGTTTACAGGCGAATACAATCCCGCTTGCAACGGATGAGCATTGAGCTCAATCTCTCTGAAGATTGAATCTTGTGTTCTAAAGGTTCCAACGAGTTTCTGTTATGTGGGTTTCGTTGTTTCATGAATAAGCGAATGTCTGAATGTGTTTTAGTTCTCGTCGTTGTTTGTTGTACTTTCGGTCTGTCTCGAACTTCGTTTACGTGAGATCCGAACTGCTGAGCAGTTGGCACTCTGTGAACCCATCTTGTTTTAATTTAGTCCTTGCGTTTTTCGTGTTCTTCAATATTGGCCCCGTAATTTACTTTTCTATCAATCTAGCCCTGTTTAGTCCCCCAAAGCAATCAAATCTGAGTGCACATTGTTTATTGGCTCCAATATATAGAAAATAAAATATGAAACAAATATTTGACATATAAATGTACGGCATCACGGCATTAAGAAAGTCATTTGTTTATTTATGTATTTATTTATTTTCACATCAACACTGGGCATAACTAAACAAGTCTTATTTTAAGAACATCTACAAAGAGAATAAAATCAAGTTAAAAATTATATAATCAAAGTCTATTAGATTTTCACAGGACATCCATTGGCTATAAAAATTGCAGGTTCACAAAAACAACAACTCAATGAACCAAAATAGAATCTAAATCCAAAATCACTTCACAAAGTTAGGCACGAGCCTGTGTTCCCATCTTCTCGGAGAAACGATGCCTATTGTTGTCTTGTCTATAGCCAAAGCCGCAAACCTACTTGTGGATCAAGAGAAAGACAAGGCATGAATGGCCAAAATCAAGAAAGGGTTTCAAAAAAAGAAAACTAAGAACCCTAACATGTGGGAGAAACAACTAAAGATGGAACAATCTATAGTTAGATCGATTCAAACCCTCGGTCATAACATAACCTCGTGTTCTTGCCCAAAAATAACTATTGGCTCCTATATAACAACATTCTCATCCCTTTGCTTAAACCAATTTCACTCGTATGAACCAGAGCCAAACCCCCTAAATTATACAAAAAAGGGAATCAGGACAGAGCCAGAAGGGGCCTTACCGAGCTTTACAGGCCCCGGCTGCTCTGTTTTTTGCCTGTAAAAACACAAAAAAGAGGGTGAAATTTCCGAAGAAAACAAACAAAAAGACTGTTAAATATCTCAAGAGCAAATAAAAACACGAAAGAATGGGGTATGGCAGTGACGATAAGAAGAAATGCATCATCGCAGGAGGAGTCTCAGCCCTGCTCATTGTCATGGTGGTCTCAGTGGCTGTGGTCACATCCAAGAACGCCGATGGTCCCAACAAACTGGCCGACATACAGATCAAAACCACGACCAAGGCGGTGAAAGCCGTTTGTGCAATCACTGACTACAAAGAGACCTGCATCAACAGCTTCATGTCTGCCTCTCCCAACTCCACCCAGCCGCTAGACCTCATCAGGCTTGGATTCGACTTGACCATCAAGTCCATCCATGAAGGCATCAAGAAAGCGGCCGACGAGCTTAAAGAGAAAGCCGCAAAAGACCCAGAGGCGAAGAGGGCCCTTGACCTCTGCCACGAGCTGATGATCGATTCCACCGATGATCTGAGTAAGTGCTTCGACAAATTTGACGGGTTCAACCTCTCTGAGATCGAGGAGTTTGTTGAGGATCTTCGGGTCTGGCTCAGCGGCTCCATGGCGTTCCAGCAGACGTGCATCGACACCTTTGATGAAGTTAAGTCGGATCTTGCGCAGGATATGGCTAAGATCTTCAAAACATCAAAAGAACTCACCAGCAATGGTCTTGCCATGGTTTCTGGCATCTCCACCTTTCTCCCGCAGTTCAACATCACAGGTAGTTTATCCGTTCTAACACCCAAAGGACATTCATAACATTCAATTCGAGTTAACGATGATGTGAATTTGGACATAACAGAAATCAACGATGATCTCGGAAGTTATGCAAGGAAGCTTCTGTCGACTGAGGACGGTTTCCCGACATGGATGAGACCGGAGACAAGGAAGCTCATGGCAGCGGTGACCGGACCAAAGGTGAAGCCCAATGCGGTCGTGGCTTTGGACGGAAGCGGCCAGTTCAAGAGCATCAACGATGCCCTGAAGACAGTGCCTAAGAACAACAAATTCCCATTCGTCATCTACATCAAGCAAGGAATCTACAAAGAGAAGGTCGATGTCACCAAGACCATGACCTACGTTACCTTCATCGGAGACGGACCAACCAAGACCATTGTCACCGGAAACCTCAATTTCGGCATCGGCAATGTCAAGACCTATCAAACCGCTACCGTCGGTGAGTGCCCACTAAAACCCTAAAATTTTCTACCCATTTCACCATCACTTCCAAAAGTAGGGTTCATACGTACCCATTGAGGCATCGATCGTTTGCTCTGCAGCTGTCAACGGCGAGAACTTCACGGCGAAGGACATCGGGTTCGAGAACACGGCAGGTCCGGAGGGTCACCAAGCGGTGGCGCTGCGAGTCTCCGCCGATTACGCCGTCTTCTACAACTGCCAAATCGACGGATACCAAGACACACTCTACGCACACTCCCACCGGCAATTCTACCGCGACTGCACGATCTCCGGCACCATAGATTACATCTTCGGGGATGCGAAATCGTTCTTCCAGAACTGCAAAATGGTGGTCCGGAAGCCGATGGGAGGCCAATCGTGCATGGTCACGGCTCAGGGAAGAACCGACAAGCGCGAGTCCACAGGGATCATCCTCCACAACTGTAGAATCATGGGAGATCCGGCGTACATACCAGTGAAATCGACGAACAAAGCTTACCTGGGTCGGCCATGGAAGGAGTTCTCGAGGACGATCATCATGAGGACGACGATCGACGACATCATCGACCCAAAAGGATGGCTTGAATGGAACGGTAACTTCGCGCTGGATACGTTGGAGTACGGAGAGTACGAGAACAATGGATCCGGGTCGGGTCAGGAAATGCGGGTCAAATGGCCCGGGATCAAGAAATTATCGGCCCGACAGGCCCTTCAGTTCACAGCCGGGAGGTTTCTACGTGGCAACACGTGGATCCCACGTAGACGAGTTCCTTACACTCCTAACATGTAGAGAGAGGGAAAACCTGACACGAGTTCGCCCTATTTTTTTCTATTTTTTTATTTTTTGGGTTTCCAAATTAAATTTGTCACTTTAAAAAAAATAATTCGAAAAAAAACATTGGCTATTTCTGCTCGCAAGAAAACAAAATAATAATTTTTAAAAAAGCTCATATAACATATTTATTTTTTAAAAAATAAAATCAATACTAAATTTGAAATTTTCACATACAAATATCTTTTAATTTCAAAAATGAAATGTTCGTAAATATTATATTTAAAAATGAATTTTTTAAATTTCACCAAATTACATATTAGATAAATATTAAAATATGAGTTTTTTAAAATTTTATAATAAAATTTTCCTTTCAAAACTTTTTAATCGTGTTTTATTGTATTATCGTTATTGAAAGAATGCAATATATATACACGACTGGTATAAATATATATGTACTAGTTGGACTAATGATATTCAATTATGAATAGATATTTTTAATTTTTACATAATCAGACTAATTTTTATCAAATTCTAAATTAACGCACGAAACGATAAAAGATTGGTCAAAGATTATTCTACCTTCAAGACATGATTTGAATTCTTGATCTCTTATTAAAGAAATTAAACCATCAATTCCAACTTTTGAGGTTAAGATTATGTTTAATATATAACTTCAAATTTATGATAATCTTGATTACACCACCAAACCTAACATCTTCCAAATTACAGTGGAACCCAAACTACTGTTCTTCATAAATATTATAGACGTTATTGATCAATAAGAGAGATGTATTTTAGATTTTGATCATTCACTATAGACGGTAATTTAGGCCCGAATGACGAAATCTGGCCTGATTTGGGTCTCGTATCTAAGTTTTTCGATCCGAAAAAATCGGAATTTCATATCGGGTTCAAATCGGTCTTTAGATCCGATTTGGGTCAATTCGAAAGCTCTATATATTTTTTTCAAAAAAATTCTGAATTTTATAAAAAAAATTGAGCGGCTCAACTTGTTCCAACCTGATCTGATCTGAACTCGAAGTCTATAGAACCAAACTTTTTAATTGGTTATATAGATCTGAAAAAAATTAGATCGAACTAAACCCGAATAAAAAACTTTCAGACCGAATGCGGATTCAGACCAAGACCAAACCGATCCGAATGACACTCCTATGACATTTAGAGAAGTAAAAACTCTGGAAAAAAAAGGTACATATGTGTAATTAATTATGTTGTGTTCATTAAATTGAAAGAGGTGGAAAACGTGCATGCGTTACGGGATTCACGTGAAGCTCTCATGCACATGTCTCGTCCTTCGAGATTTAATCCCAATCTTTTGGGTCTTTTTTTTTTTGTCGTACGTGTATATTTTTACAAGATTGACATTTTTTTTTAAAGCTCATAATTTAGATTGTCAAAGTACCAATGTTATTAAAGGAGGTAAATGTTTAAAATTTAAAAAAAATATAACGAGGGAGGGACTGCAAAATCCCTAGATACCTAGTTGATATAGTAACCTTTCATTCATTCAATGTTTAGTGGACCTTTTTTTTTGTACTCTGAACAAAATGTATTTTACTTTTGGTGGGGTCACAATATCACACCCGTATAATATAATAAACCGTATCGTATGAAAATGTGTATCGAATCTTAAGTTTTGTCCACTCCGTACATGATAAAATTTTAAAATTTTATTATATATACAATTACGAATTTGTATATAATTTCGAAATATTTGGAAAAGAATTAAGGGAAGCTGAAAGGGGCAAATATATGAGAGGGGGGGTGAATAAGCGCTCCACTTTTACCCTCCACTTCTCTCAACGGTCATTCCTTTCTTCGATCTCCAAACCCTAAATTATCGTATCCGCCATTAAAGCTCGCGCTCAAAACCTCCGAAGCAAGAAGTGCCCAGCAGAAGGATGTCAAGCAAGACCCCGATTTTCCCCATGCCCGAATCCCAGCATTTCTGCGATTACGGCTTCGATCCTCAGATCGACTACTTCCAGGTTCCTTCTTCCTTTGGAATCTATTCGAGTTTTTTAGGGTTTTACGAGGCTTTCTCGGATGGGTTTGTTTTATTTCCTGGAAAGAAACAACCGATATCAACTAATTTCCGATTTGCTCCTCTGTTTTTTTTTTGGAACAAAAACTGAAGGTTCTCGAAGAAGCGAGGAAACACAAACGAGAAACGTCGGCGAGATCCTCCATTGATGCTCTTCACTTCAAGCTCCAGAAGCCCATTTCCAAGGACGACCCGACCCGATCCGTTCTCCACAAGAAGAAGAACAAACACCGGTGGTGGAATAGCGCTTTCATCTTCCTCAAGTGGAAACACAGGTGGTGGAAGGACGCCGCCGTTCTAGGCGAGGACGATCGCGGCGTTCATCGAGCGAGGGCGAGGGCGAGGGCGTTAAGGGCCGCCGGTTCGGTGTCGGGTCCGGTTTACGTGACGGAGAGCCGGTCCGGTTCTAGCACGCCGTACCGGTCTACGACGAGCAGGCCGTCGTCGGGCCCTCTCGCCGGAACTACGACGCCAGCGAGGAAGGGTGACGTGGCGATCCCGTATGTGAGTCTACGGGAGCTTAATATGGAAGAGCAACAGAGGATGCCTACCTCTTCTGCTAAGCCCATTTACTTGGTCACGTAAAAAAGTTAAATATTTAAGTTATTAATTAATAACCCAAAGATAAATTCGCGACCTCTATATTTAGTTATTTCCTCCTCTTTTTCGTGTTCTCTCTCTCTTTTTTTTTTGGGAAATATTCGAGCAGAAAGCTTATGCTCTTTAATGTTTTGTTCTGTGAAAGCTGCAAAAGTTCTACTTGTTAAATAATTTGTTAAATATTTTATTTTTTTGGGTATTCTTTTAAAAAAGACCTTAATTTTTAAAATATTTCTACAGTTTAAGAAATCACAATCTTATTTTAATAAGGACGGACGATATTTCATATACAATTTTTTTAGATTTTAATTTGTAAATAAATATTTATCTTTCTAATTATCAACACCTAAAAAAAATCCACATCTACACATATACATAATTTGTTATTTGCAACATTTATTTTATTTTTTTTGACATTTATTGTTATGAAGGTGTAGAATATGTGATAGGATGAATAATTATAGCTTTTGACTATGGGCATTTGTGAATCGTGGTAGGTTGTAAAGTTAAAAAAGTAATCCCACCTTTTTTTAAAATCACTTGAGTTTTATTTGAGATGGGATAAATTTCAATTTTAAACAGACGTGATCTAAACCAGGAATAAAAAGTCATAAAACGGTCAAATCTGTTTTTGAGATTATATGTTGTCTTGGTATGTATCAGTCAAACTCAGAACTATATATTATTATGTCTAATGTTGTCGATTTGGACGTTGAATAGGTCTTCGATCTAAATAAAACAAAAATTGAATTTTGACATTTTGGTTTGTTTTTTTTATTAGATTTAGTAAAAAATTGTATTCAATCAATTTTTATGTCGGTTTTTTAGTTCGTACTTTATTTGGTTTGATTTGAATTCAATTTTTATTAATATAAAAAATATTTTAATTTGTTTTTATATTTTGATTCGAGTTTCAGAAATTTGAAACTAATCGTTTTTTTATTAACGTTTTCTACTTACCATTTTATTAAAATTACATGAGACTGTTTCCATGCATCGAATTCGGAGTGCGAAAACGGTAAGTAGAGGGGGAATGGGCATGTGGGGGGTTGGGGGTATTGAACATTGATGATGTAACCCATTGATACTACGTCGTTTTCAAGTAACGTGCTCGAACGGCATCGCTTTTTGTCTTCTTTTTCTGAGATATTTCATCTAAAAGTGTGGGCATTTGGTCTAGTGGTATGATTCTCGCTTAGGGTGCGAGAGGTCCCGAGTTCAATTCTCGGAATGCCCCCTCTCATTTATTTTCCATTTTTTTATGCCTATTTTACATTAATCAATTTACACCCGCATTTTGACTTTTCATGTTCAATTGCCTTGCCCCAAAGTTCACCCAAAACATTTATGGTGCCTACCCACGATGACAATAATGGACGGTCAAGATTAACCTATGCTTTTTGTGTATGAATAATTTGGATTCCCTTACACACAACAACTGGGACGATTAAATTAGCGCCAAATTTGGTAACTTGGGATTGTAGTAGTAGCACAGTTATGTCAATTGGGTTGACCCAACCCATTTGGATTTGAAAGATAAACGGATTGAGTTGGATCGATCCGTTAATAACAATGAGTTTGGTTAGATGGATCCATTAAACCCGTGTAAACCATCTAAACACATTTATATATTCATAAACTACTTATACATATATATATAACTATTAATATGTATACTCATATAAACTATGAATTGTCATTTTAATATTCAATTCGGTTTATTCGATTCAATAAAAATATATAAAAAATCAGATATTATATTATATTCGATAATTTATAAAAAAATTATACATTTCCTTAAAAAATCAGATTTTTTGAGTTTTTAAAATCCGATTTGATGTTTGTTTTAGACATATTCTAGTGTAGATTTTTTGAACGGTTCGGTTCAAAAATGACACCGATTTTTTAAATACGATTCGATTCAGAAATGGTGTCAAATTTTTTGTTATGATTCAAATTTTTCGGTACGATTCGATTCGGAATAGTATCGAGTTTTTTTTATATAATTCGAATTTTTCAGCACGATTCGATTCCAAAACGACACCGAGTTTTTGGTACGATTCGATTTGAATGGCATCAAGTTTTTTGAACGATTCGAAATTTTTCGCCACGACTCGATTCAGAAACGACATTGAGTTTTTTGGCACGGTTCGATTCAGAAACGATATCGATTTTTTCGGTACGATTCAATTCGGAACGGTCTCGAGTTTTTTTTATACGATTCAAATTTTTTTGCACGATTCGATTCCGAAACGACATCGAGTATTTCAGTACTATTCGATTTGAACGGTATCAAGTTTTTCGATAAGATTTAAAATTTTTCGACACGATTCGATTCAGAAACTATACCGAATTTTTTGGTACGATTCAATTCGGAACGGTATCGAATTTTTTGGCACGATTCGATATGAAAAAGACACCGAATTTTTCGGTATGATTCGATTCACAGCAGTATCGATTTTTTTTATACGATTCGAATTTTTCGACACGATTCGAAAATAGCACCAAATTTTTCGGTACGATTTGATTCGAAAATTATACAAATATTTCAATTTAATTTATATATATATATATATATATATATATATATATATAGATATAAATATCTATATATGTTAATTTTTATATATCTAAATATAATAATAAAATACAAAATGAGTTTAATTTTAACTAAATGGGTCTAATGAGTTAAGGATTTAACCCATATGTTTAATAGATTAAAACCTATTTAACTCATTTTAAAAAATTACTCAAATGGACTAACCAGTTTATAACTGCATCGATTGGATCGACCAGATCCATTTTTACATCTCTAGATTTAAATGAGATTTTGAACTTCCAGATCGGTCAACAGCGCTAGAGACGTGACACGTGGCCAAAATACAATTACAGCCGTTGGATGTCAGCAATGCAGTTCAAGACGGTTTTCTCTCTTTTTGCTTTAAAACTTCCCATTGGTTGGAGAAACGTCTTGAAGTGCACACCTGTGGCCAACAAACAACACGGCGTGCGTCAGACAATCCTTTTGTTCCAAGTTTATTACAGTACCAAACTCAATCATCGGACGTTGAATTTCAGATAAAAGCAAGAAACAAAGTACGGACAGAGAGCTTACCGTCATTACAGATGCGGGGTAAACAGTTCCGCGGTTCGAGAATTTCACAACTTTTTCGATCCTTCCGAGAGCGATGATGGTAACTTCGGGTAAGTTTAGAAGAGAGGACCCGAATTTCCACCGATTGCTCCGATGTTATTCACAGTTATGGTTCTACCAGTTATGTCCTCCGGGTTAAGTTTGTTGCCTTTCGCGAGATTTTGTAACCGAGACAGCTCCTTCGTTACCTGTAGTAGAGAAAGAGACTGAACATTCCTTATGTTCGGAACAACGAACCCGTGTTTAGTAGCCATTGCAACTCCAATGTTATGGGAACCTGAAACAATACCGATCCAAAAAATCTTATATGAAGATATGGTCATAGATTATATATAAGCTAATATCGAAATAGCAAACCGATCGAGGAAGTGGGCGGAACCTTTGAGGATCAATTCGATAGACTCCTCGTTGAAGCAACTGTTCATGGAGGGGGTACTTGGTTAGAGCCATCGAGAGCGATTTGATCAACACAAGGAGGAAAGTGTGCTTGATGTTCTCTTGAAAAGATGATCTAATATCCACCAATTCGTCCCAATTTACCTCTTTGACGAAATAAAAATGCGGCACCTTTGCTGCCCTTGCCATCGTCTTGACCATTGCTCGGCGGAATCCTCTGAGAATGCAATGCGGAAAAGTTATATTACAAATGCTGAATGGTAACCAGCCATGTTAATATCAATAGAACACCTCAGACTAACTGTTTTATCTTCAACGTTAATTGAACAGCTCGGCAATGCAGCAAAGAACGTCTCTCCTCCGGGAATAGTCTCTTTGGGAGGAGAACTGACATATCCAAGAACGTCTTCTTTCAAAACCCTCCCGGCCTTCCCCGTTCCAAGGACATCGTTAATATCAATGCCAAGCATCTTTGCAAGGTTCTAAACAGCAGGAGAAGATAACACTCCACCCAGACTTTCGGGTTTTCGCTCGGAAACTGTTGAACTATCGGAGGTTACTAGGAAAATTGTCGGAGTCCTTCAACAACCAGCCTCAGAAGAGTTTCTCCAACCTGTATATATGCATCAAAAGTTTTCAAGCATATAAAGTCAACAAATTTAAGTTGTCTGAAAGACATTTCCGAAATCAAGACACAAATCTTATATGTTTCTAACTACGGATCCACAACAACTATGGGATATTACTCAGCGGTTTATCGCAGAAAAAGTCGGTAGCTGAAGATCTCAACATTGATTGTGTAGGCTCTAACCTTTACAATATCACCAGGAACATGAGAAATCTGAGCCACTTTCCCCTAAAACAACTCGTTATCTCAACCAAAGGCTCATTCACTTTACTTGTCTCAACCAACCAACCAAAAACAAAAACAAGAGAACATTCGTAAGGACGAGACAAAACAAAACTATGAACTGACCTCGTTCACGAACCACTTGACAATCTCACATTCAGCAATGCCTTCCCCGGTTTGCGCCAGTGGAACATCGACTAAACCGCTTGTAGAAACTTCGGCCAATGCTTGGCTCGAGAACCACCTTCATGGTTGGTTTATACCAACTCTTCAACTGAGAAATTTCATAAAGATGAGAGTGCAATTGATCTATTTGCGTGGAACCCTAAGTCTGTTCTTACCAAAACCAACCACATCGTTAGAAATTTACGACACTCCCAACGCAGATGTTAAATGTCAAGTTCAAAGATTCTGTATTAGCAGGCGATTTTGTGCATCTATCTCTAAACAAATTCAGAGCCGGAGAAAGAATAAAGAATGACACCAGAGAAATTTCTCTAAGACGTAGTGAAAATCAGCAACTGGCTATGGAGGAAACTCACGGAGGGAGGATTGACGACGAGCCGACGCGACGCCGGAGAAATGAACGACAGCGGCCCGTGACACCCAGATCAGACGGCGGAGACATCGGTGGCTTCGAAAGATCCTCACAGCGATCATCGTAACACGAAGGCGGCGCGTGAGCAGACACCGAGATATTAGACGACGGAGACATCGGTGGCTTCGAAAGATCCTCACCGCGATCATCGTGATCTCCGTCGTTCGCTCTCTCTCCGATCTACGGTGATTTCAAAGGACTCGGACAAAAACAGAATACGACAGTTAGTAGCTAGGTTTCTGGTGGTGCCACGTCAGCGATACTATCCATGTCGTCCAAATGCGTCGATGTGAATGTGATTTGACCGTTGATGATCGGGACAAACCCAGACTCGTCTGACGAAAACTGGACTGGACCGTTGGATTTTAGTGCTTTGAGCGTTGGTGGGAATAATCAATCCAATTAAATGTTAATTATACTCATCAGCTTATTAAATCAGTCGTCGCAAATCGCAAATCACCTGTGGACCCGAACCCTAATCATATTTCGAAAAGAGCCCCACAACTTTGTTAATTGTGCCATTTTAACCCTAATCGTTCTCTTTGCCACTTTTTTTTTTTTTAAATTCTTTCATGTAATACTTAGTTACCATCGTATCTCGACGATAAAACTAGTGACACGAAGTCGTTCTAACAATTTTATTACTTGTAGTAAAACGATGATTTAATTCATCACATATCTCGGTTTTTCACACCCGTTAGATAGATATAGTTTGAAAACATTAGAAAATATTTAATATATGATATTTTATTGGGTGAAGAAATAGGTTACTAAAAGCGTCTGCACAACAAATATATCGGATTATAAAGTTGCAATTAAGTACTTTACTAAAAATAAAATTTCCCAGAAACTCGTTTATAGAATAAGCAGACAGTCTTATCGTATAAACTCCAAATCAACTACTTTTTGGCGGTTGTGGGCTTAAAAGTTCATATGTTGACACGTGTAAAAATATAAAAAGAGATTGGTAGAATGACCTCATCCTACATTGATGCCACGTGTAGGGTATCTACATGTTTTACCCACAGACACGCGCTCGAGTACGACAAATAGTTTTACTCGCCAAATTTCCGCCGACATCTGGTTCTCCTGGGGTAAAAAGCTCGCCTAGATTGTTTAATTGCCTTTAAAAAAAAATCTACACATTTTACAAAGAGAAACGTGTAGAAAATTAAGTATATGATAGGGGGCTCAATTGAGAGAAAATTTTCAATAGCTAACAAATTAGTGTAAAAAAACTAAATATATATATATATATATATATAAAATAAACTTCTATAAAAGGAGAAAAAGGGGTTGAAAAGGGACACACGTGGCAGATATCGGAGCATCAGAAATCAACACATATGGGCCCCACCTGTATCCCTCTCCTCACCTCTATTTATTTTATTTCCAATTTTTTTCTTCTCACAAACCAAAAGTCTTCTTCTTCTTCTTCTTCTTCTTCTTCTTCAACAGTATTAACTCTAGAATCCGAGAAGCAGGAGGAGGAAGGAAAAAAAAAAAAAAAGAGGAGTATAGAAAGATAATGAGATTAAAAAAATGGTTGGTCTAAGCGTTGTTTTGGAGACAGGCAAGAATCTGACGAGAGATTCCGGCGGAGTTATCAGCCCAAAACCGCCGCAAGTCCTCAGCAAAACGGCCGTGATGATCACCGCCGCCGCGGTTATCACCGGATTCCGCCGTGGGAGTTCTCATCCAGATCCTGATTTTCTCGAGCATTGCTCCCTGTGCAAGAAGAAACTCCTCTCTGGAAAAGACATCTACATGTATAAGTAAGCAACTGCAACAGAACACCAGAGACTGTTTTTCTCCATGACTGTGAACGGTTTTTCTCTAGAACCCAGATTTCGTTTCCCGATTTCTGATGATGGGTTTGCGTTGTTGTTTCGGAATTTGTTCTCTGTGATTCGGCAGAGGATGCAAGTTTTGTACGGAGGAGTGCAGGTCCACGAAGATTTTCATGGACGAAGAAGAGCGTTTAAGAAGAAAGAAATGTTCGCTGGACGCCATCAAAACGCTGCCGTCTGCTCCGCCGCCGTCTTCCATATCCTCTCCGGCGTCTGTGTCCGGCGTTTATTCCAGGCGCCGCCGTGGATCGAGAAACCGATCAGGCGGTTTCGCGTACTGAGAAGGACAAAGCATTGCGAGTTTAATAGTGATTTGACTAGGTTACCCTTTGGCAGTTTGCCGTTTTGTCGTTTTGTATCTTTTAACATGTGAAAGCCAAAAGGGTGTTTTGGACATTTCGGAGCCGGCAAATCTATGGGAGCCCCTAGTTTTATTATTAGCAGGTCCCGGAAATATATATATATATATATATATAAAAAGTAATATTCGAATGGAGGTTTTGCTTTTAAGGACCATCAATGAAAAGTTTACACATAACATACCCATAATTGACTCCAAAACATAGTGCGGCTTTAAGATTTTGCTAACAATTTATTTGTTTATAAAAATATAATAATTAATGATCATGCAACAAAATTAAAATAAAAATCCAAAGAGATTCCCTTGATTTCAAAATGATGGAGAATGGAATGATTTTAATTATAAATAAAAAATATTCCCTTGATTTCATGCGAGTTGAGCTTTGACGTATTCGCCGTATATGGAATATTTAACTTAAGATTATGCTTCGAGGAATTTGATGACAACCTTTTTATAGGGACAAACATACAAACAGGTAAAATATATAAGCTTGTGTTCTTGGTTAAATATATCTTTATCATGGAAAACATATAAAATAAAATAAAGACTAGTACGATTTACAAAACATCTAATATTATATCAAATAAGTTGGACACATCTAATATATGGATACAGCGCTTCAACAAGAAAGTTTTCAAAAAAACGGATTAATTATATTTAAATTATTTACAAAAATATGGTACCTCTAGTGCTGTTTTTGCTGCTAGGGCTGGACGTTTCGGTTCGGTTCTTCGGAACCGGATCGAAACGAACCGAAAAAACGGTATTTTTTTCGATTCGAAACCGTTCTTAATTCCCGAACGGTACCATATTTAGAGAACCGAATTTTTTCAGAACCGAACCGAATCGAATCGAACTTTAAAAATTCCGAAAAACTGAATATTTTTAAAGAAAATCTATCCTTTTTTTAATAAAACCCGGAACCGAACCGAGCTGATACCGAAACCGAACCGAACTGAATACAATATAAAAACCGATTGGTACATATTTTATAAAACCGAAAGAACCGAACCGATCCATTCCCGTCTCGAATCTGAACGGTTTCCCGAAACGTCCACCCCTAATTTTTGCAGTGGATTATTTCTATATCATTGGGGAAAAAAATAAAATAAAGAAATGCGGAGTTGGTATACAAAGAGATTAAAGATTGAGTTTTTTTTTAATTAAAAAAAAGCCACGAGGGAATATATTAGGAAGCGGGAACAGGAATAATCCCAATCAGAGCATTACGGCATCTTGAGATTATTGTATTCTATTCAATACCAGAGATTTTTTGGATTCTTTTGGGATTTACTTTGTATCTTTATAATCCATATATATATATATATATATATATATATATATATGGTCCACAAGAGTTAAACATAAAGGTCTTTTTTATTAAAAGAAGAATACGAAACAAAGAGAAAGAGAACCGAAGTCCTATGCCCCATATTGACATGTGGGCATCTTCATCAAGACAAACATTTGGACCACTATATCTTTTGCCTAATATTCTTCGGTAACATCTGTCTGTATGCACGTATATAAATATACATTCCTTTTTCATAACTATAAGGAAAGAAACTAAACGAAACGAAATATATATATATATATATATATATATATATATTCATATAGTGTTTTGATTTATTTAATGCAACGGTCAAAAGAATCTCCTTTATTTGGACTGACCAAGCCATTAGATTAATGCAGGATGTATCGGCTCTGCATGCTAATTTACTACGGAGGCATTCACTGCATGACAGATACCATTTCTTCAGTTTATTATATATCAAACCTCTTTTCATTCCTTTGAAATCTATTAACCAAAGCCCCTACTCCTTTAGATCATTGGTGGTGAAGGAAACTTGCTGCGCAAGAAACATGTGAAAGTTTCCTAGCCCATGGTAGATTACTGTTTCACCACATATATATATATATATACACACACACAAAAATGAAGCTAAAATCCACCGGAAGAGCTTAATCTTCTTCAGAATCCTCCACTACCCGACTCCTCTTCCCTGTCCTGCTATTACAAACACCATTTTCCTCTTCTTCTTCTTGCCATTCATCTTCATCTGCTGCTACTGCACTGTCGGAATCCGGAACGTGTGCAGAAACAGGAGTAGCAGTTTGAGCTGACAATATCCTCTCAGACCCATCTCCCTCAGATTCTTGTTCCTCTGATCCGTTATGGGTACTGACCTCTGTCTGTAACTGGTTTGGTCCATCTTCTTCCGTCGCAACCTCAAGTATCTTGAAATCTCTGGCAGTGCTGCGCTTGGCGTGCCTCAGTAAATTGACTTTAGTTACTTTGCTTAGCTGAATAAGATACCTTTCGCAATCTTCTATTTGGAAAATCAAATCCGGGATGCATTTGTTCTCCCTTTTGATCTTGTTGATAATGCCCTTGGGCTTGGTGGCATTGGAATTGGTCTCCTGTTTATCCTGCATTATATAGATGCCATGTTTGTTATCATCCGTATGTAAGAAACAATAATTATTTTTTCAGATGCACGCTTTTACCCTTTGAGTTTCAGCCAAAAAGTCGTATAAAGGAACCGTGAACTGCCTGCAAGTTAGTTCCACCAGTTTCTGAAATTTAAGGCTTGGAAGGATTTGCCTGCAACCCTTTGCTGCAATCCTGAGTTTGGTGATCTGTGCTAATTGTTTGTAAAACCTCACTGCCAATCTGAGGAACTGCTCTGTTTGTGGGTCTGCGCATTACGCAAAACAAGGATCCACAAGCTCAGTTAAAGTAGCAAAGGACAGAAAGGGAGAAGTTTGTGAGAAGTGGCGAACTCACCCTTTAGGCTCATCAAGACGAAGCACGAGAGTACTCTTACAACTGACTCGGCCAATGAGTAAAGTGCTTCCTCAAAACCCAATCCAGAAATATGCTCTCCATCGCTACCGAAATTGATGTTGTTTTGAGTGACCACTGAGAAAGTTTTCAGCTTTTTTGTGGCCCAATCCATGTGGACTATTGCTGATTCAATGGATTGCAAAATGCAAGAGGTTACAGTAGCACTTGTAGACTGGTTTATGATTGGGAAAGACTCAGACACCTGCAGAGACTCAGTTTCCTCCAAACCGATTATGTTTTGTAGCTCCTTAGCCATTTCCTCAGCTATGGATAGATCGTAAGGAGACGTAGTTAAAGAGATAGCAAGTTTCACAACGCTCTTTGCAACAGACGTGTTAGTTGTTTCACAGCTTCTGCATATTTGAGTAGTCCATGATCCATGGCGGTCTCTGAATTTTCCTGGCAGAGATTTCCCAAGCATCAGCATTGTATCACAAAGAACCTGGACAGAGTAAATGAAATTATTCAATATGCACAAGCTGTGAAACAGACACAGCAGAAGTTTCTTTAAGTCGAGGAATATACCTCCACGCCATGAGAACTGGGAACTGCGAGAAGATCTAAGATCATCGGCTTCAAGATTTTCCCCATGAACATTTCTTTGCTCCTTATGAGTGGATCATCGATTTTTGAAGTTTCCTCACACCCATCATCCACACCACCATTGTCATTTACAGGCACTGCCAACAAATCTTCAAGCAAAGAATTCGAACCAGAGCCAATTGAACACATCGTAAGTAGTTCCTTCAAGCAAAGTAAGGCAAAATGCAGACACTGTTTTCTTTCTTCTGCATCTTTTCTTCCCTTTTTCTTCTGTTGGGTTGCTAAAACTTGCCCCTCCTTTAACAGATAGATCACTTTCAGTAATGGAGGACCCAGAATTCTAATGTCACCATAGACCAACTTTTTCAATGGATTTCCCTCCTTCATGCGAAGAGAAGATCTTATGTGTCCAAGGCAAACCTGCAATGTGAAAGAGAAAATCCGAGAAATGGATTTTTCTGTCTTGGCTGACGACGACTGACTACGATTCTGAGAATCAGGACGACTACTGATGCTTTCACCACTAGAGAGTTTCAACATGGTTAGAAATAGCTGATAGAGACTTGAAGTGGACAAAAAGGGCACTTTTAATTCATCAATCACTTTTGCATTTCCAAGATCAGAACTAGCCCAAATCCTCTTGCCACCAGCGCTCTGCTTAGATTTGTACATGTCTTTTTCCAGTGACTGATGAAGATCAATCAAATCAGCAATCTCCTTTTCGAGATCACCCTTTTTTCCTTCTAGTCCTTTCTCTAGTTCAGTGGCAATAGAATTCAGCAGAACCTCAAGGATTCCAGACAAAATCAAAGCACATGATTTCTTTTTATCTTCTTGAAGAGATGCTGATTCTACATCCTGAGACTGTTCAATGATATCTATAGTAGTGCAAGACAAACATAAAGATTAGCATGAAAATGCTGAAGAAAGGATATCTTTTCTCAAGAAAAAAAGAGGTGCTCCCAAAAACAGAACAATAGTTTGATTACTCAAATGCTCATTTTAGATTTCCTGGAGACAAAAATGCTCCTTTAGATTCAACAGCCACTATCTCCAATTTCAGTATTTTTCACTTATGGATCTAGACTAAGTCTAAAACGCGAACTCTACCAGACTGTACAAGAAAGGACATCAAATTCAACCTCAGGTCCTCATTGTTTGGTAGCCTGAGTCAGACAAGCAAACGTTGCTACAACAGAAAAAAAATGAATAGTCAAAATAAATTTGGATACACATGGTTTAATAACATACCTTCTATTTTCCCCTGCCGTAGGAGACTTCGGACCTTCAACAATGTGCTAGAGTATTCCTCGTGAGATGCATTTCTTCTCCCCTGCAGCCATCCAAAAATCATAACAAACACGTAAATTGCAAGTAGACTATATCATTTGTCAAACAACAAAAATTCTGTTCTGCAGCAGTAATACCTCGTTCTCCTGAGAAAGGGAGAAACCAAAGCATGGCCATGAGGCATCAGAAGGGCGATCTGAGCTGCTGAGTGGCTGGAGGATTAGAATCCAAGAGATACAAGAGAGAAGACTATCCACGGGCTCTTCAATGACAACTTTGGAACCTTCTGTTTTAATGCATGAAGCAAGTCCAAGATGGAAATCTATATCCTGCCAGCAAAGTTGTTGGTTTTACGACGTGTAAATTCGTGCCTATCAGCAATAATTTTTTTTTAGAAAAATCCTCAATAGTTCCTCCTGTCAATGGGTATAAACAGTCAAAAGAATTTGAAGATATGTAACTGTTTCTTTTATGTTGGAAAATTAGACTTAGGATGCATCCTCATTGTAATGACAGGATGAAGCATTTGATGCATACCTGTCTAAAGAAACGAAGAAAGTGGGGCAGAAGAAAATCCAACACCGATACTCCACTTGATGGATCGACTATGACCAACTCCAAAAGCCCATTATAAATTACATCTCTCACTTTTGCCTGCATAGGTGAAAAAATCTCTAAAAAGCCATTCAAAATCTCAGGGGAAAAGAGTTATTTCAGAATGATAAAGGATAAGAAGAAACACCTGCTGATAAAGACATCTTTGAAGCAAACCATTCAGTTCATTGAAGAGGCTTCTCTGCATAATACAGCTCATCTCAGCTTGCTGGCTGGAACTGGCCTGGCTTGATGAATCTTGGAAAGTAAATGAGCTCTCTTTCTTAAATTGCTTTTCTGCTAGTATAAGATTGATTATCGCATTTGCTGCTGAAACACGAACTGTCTCTTCTCGGCTGAACATAGCCTTACGAATCACCAAAATGCTATAGTCCTGCACAATTAGGTGTAAACCTTTCTAAGATGCTGGCATACTGGTTAATTTTTTTTTGGTCTCCAGTTTCAAAACTCCGAACAATGTAAACTTCTATGTCAGTCCCAGTTTCCATGATCTTAAAGTGAGTCAGGCATGTGGTGGAATGGTGGGGTGTGCAGAAGGGAGTGGAAACAAAGAGAAGATCCAGCAAAAATATTTACCTGAAGATCACGACTGAATTTGATTAACGGAATTACAGCAGTAACAAGACAACTGCTGATACTTCCCTCCATGTAAGTGAAATAATCCAACAACTCCTTGATATGGTGAACATATTCCAACATGGGATATGAATAGCTTCGGACAAGATAGCCTAGCAACCTGCACACTGAACTTCAGTGAAGCGAGAGAACAAGAATTGACAACCTTAGACATAAGAGTTAAACTCACCTCACTATTGGGATGCTCTTTTCACAGTTCAAGGAAAGGATACGAAACTTGCATTGTTCGATAATCTGTCAGGCACAAATCACTTGAAGATTATGACTACATTTTGAGTGAAACTCTCGTATAAGAGTTTAGTGCCAGTCAAAAGAGCATTAAAAAACTAAGGCATTCAACGACCAAACAAGTTGCTACCTCCTTTCTTGTCATATCATGAACTTCAAATACGGTTCCAAGAATCTGAATGCTTAGCTGCTCAAGACCCAGTACCCCATTAGAATCACCAAACTCCTTGCATCTGCCTTCTTCCACAGATTCTAGAAGCATAAAACCAAATTGGATGACACTGGGAATAACATGTTCCCTCCCGCAACTGCTCTCGCTGACCTATATAGGAAACTTCAAGAAATAATGGCATAATCATCTATGTCTTACCATGAAGGATATCATGGTATGGGAGACATGATAGGAAAACAAAAATAGCAAGCAGAGGAAAATACCGCTCTTAACAAAGATTGTTCTACCGATTTGAGATGCAATGAATACTCTTCCTTCAGCTCATCAGGTAGCCACTTGCAATCTCTGTGTATCATTGAGAGTACCATTGAATAAATTGTTGATCAAGAATCATCACAGTAACCTTCTTATGGCATTTAACAAAAACTATGAGAAAGATTCTACAAAAATGGCCTGAATGATTAAAATTCCAAGACAACATTATACAAGTAACTCGAGGCAAAGGCACACAACGAGGTTCTATCAGTGGTATTGTTAATGCCACTCGAATTGACAACTTTATGGCTGCATAGTAAAGCTCATACAAGCATAAAAGGAATCAACCCTTCTCGGGAGAAAAATGCTACGAAAAGCATACTAGAAAACACTAGGATTTCAAATCTCCACATGAAACAACAGGCAATAGCCAGTGGCAGAAAATATGAACCACCTACATGTCAAATTATGTGCAGTCTAGTGATCAGAACATATTTAGCCAAATGAATTACTTACTTGGAGAGTCCATAATCGATGTATGCTGTAAGCAAACCTGTTCTTAAAACCCCCAAGGAATTCTCACCAAATCTCCGAATCCTGGCGACGGACAGCAGAACTGCAAACGTAAAATGATTGAAAGCCCTAAGATTGGATTTCACTAACCTCACAACCTCTTGCCCCAGTGAAGGATCCTGCTTCACAGCAAAATTTACATGAAGAAGCACGGTACCCTCGACCTGTCTAACTATGGAGGTCCCTGTGGTCCCGGACTTGGACCCAAAAAACCCACAAATCCCTTCTATCACCTCCTTCTTGCAAAACCCTTTTGAAGCAAGAACCAACAACTGATACACAACAGAAGGCAAGTCTTGCAAGTCTATTCCCCTTATACCTTGAAACACCTTCTCCAGCAACTCACTCTTTCTTACCTTGTCCAGAAACGGCAACTCCTTCGCAAGGGAAACAACTTTGATCAACAACCCTTTCGACCATTCATTCTCGAGAACACGGTCTATCGCTGAATTCACGAAATCCACATCGCTTCTCACAAACTCATTCGGCTTTCGTAATATGTCAAAACACCCAGGCAATAAATCGAACAACTGAGCGTCGTCGACGCTTGTAACACTAGACAAATCCGATAAGATCGAATCAACGACGGATTGAAGATCCTTGACAGGTAAATATCGCAAAAGGGTATTGAATAGCTGAATCGTCTTGAGGGAATTCGAATCGCGGGGGATTTTCCCGGAATTGAAGAGCTGGGTGTACGAGAGAAGGAGCGAAGAGAGGAGAGACGAGAGAGAGGGGGTGGTCGGGGAGAGAGAGATCAGAGAGAGGAGAGAGACAACGTACTCCGACACAGATTTCGAAGGCGAGGGAGAAGACGAGCGAGATCGGAGGTAGGAAACGAGAGGGGCGTGGGAAGTAGGGGAGAGAAGGTAAGGAGGGAGAGAGAAGCCGGTCTGGGAATAGTGGTAGTGAGCTAAACGCACGATATCATCGTCGCTGAGAGGACGTTGCCCATTGCACACCTGGGGTTCTCCGGCGACTGAAGCGGCGGTCATGGCGGTGGCCGTCGTCCTTTCTGGCAGGATTCCACGTCTCGAGACCTTGAGAGATCCCTTTTAGAATTACAAACAAAAATGATTTATTTTTGCGCGGGAGAATTCTTTTTTGGGATGTAACTAAAATGGGCCTCAGGCCCATAATCATTAAAAATCCACCAACAAAAATGAAATTGGGTGGCCATATTTGGACTCCCCCAGGTTGCGTGGCCTGCTGCGTGTTGAACAACTTATAGCCTAATCCATTTACGTTAGGAAAAAAACTAAAATTTCTGAAATAAGAAAAGGCACAAGCATTTCTACTGTATTTTTATTTTATTTTATTTTTTAAAAGTTTTTTTTGTTACTTGTACTATTGTCAACCTAGGAGAAAAAGGTCAGTTTATTATTATTATTATTATTATTATTATTATTATTATTATTATTATTATTATTATTATTATTATTATTATTAGCTTTATAATGATCTTAATGGACATTTCTAGCTCTTCTACATAGTTTTAGTAAATCGTTATTATAATTTTTTTGGATATTCAGCCTAACAAAACCTTATTAGATTTGAAAAGTTTCTATTCGAGTTTAATTTTAATATCTCAATATATTATATGTAAAAATTAAAAATGTTTTGAATATGCAAATTTACTTTACTTAAATAATATTTAAGATCCGGTAACTTATTTCTCGTGAATCTACAAATCATCATGTATAGATAAAAGTATATTATAAGAACGACAGCTATAATCACCACGAAATTTGAATAATTATTACCAAAACCGTACACACAAAAAATGGTATGCCTGCCTGCATGAGAATGCGAACCAATTTTACGTAATAGATTTTAGTTCAATTTCTTTGCTGAATATATATTTGAGATATTCGAAATAATTTATCTAAATCCAATTTAATAGTCTGAATATTAAAACATGTATTTCGACTTATGCTTGAATTCTTTTAATTATCATAAATATTATAGATTGGATCAGTTGTGAAATGAAAATTAGATCTGCCATTAGAGAAAAGCCGGTGGCGATGGAGCAGTTCATGCTTGCCTGCCTGTCCATGCAAATTAATTAGCTATTTTTTGTATAATTTATATCTCAAGATCTTATAAAAATTACATGATTAAGACGACACTCTTTTATTTAATTACACGAAAGTGTTTTTTCTAATATTTTATTCATATTAGTATAGTTTGCATTAATTGATTGATTAAATTAAAATTTTCAACTAGTTCGTGGGTCGTGTCGTGTCGTGGCTTTGTCGTCTCCAGTTTCTCTCTCTAGTTTGTGTTCTTCAGAATAAGACAAAATGAATCTGAAGATCCCCATGTGCCTCTCTTCATATCCATCCAACGGCTTATATTGCAAGATCACGCTCAATGTAATATCCACCGTTGGATTCTGAGTCGTATCCCTAATGCTCTATTACCGTTAGGGCAAAAAGACAATAATAAAATACACTTGTCCCCATTGAAATATCAAATTCATGAAATATCAATCATACAAATATTTTCATTGTTTAATAACTTAGTATATAAATTAATTGCAACTAAATTAATCATTTTTATGTTTTCTTATTTTTTAGAACATTTATTCGCATAACTATCACTCTAAAAATATAGTTTAAACCCACTTTGTCAAAAAAAAAAGTTTAGACCCATATTCTTTTAAATATTAAACAAAAACCCTAATTATAAAGTTTTTATGTTAGTAGATATTTGAGATTAGTTCTAGTAAACAAGTAATCATTTGAATACTTTTTCTTTTACATAATTAAATATGACATGACAACACTTCTCTTTGTTATCTGCTATCCAACCTTGGATAATGTAGTGGTAAAAAAATATATAAAATATATTTTTATCTGGTGTGTTCAAATCAAAAAATGATGAGGGATATTCATCTAAATTTTGCCGATCATTTAAGAGATGTTATTGGACTAAAGAGTTTGGTAAATTTTCGAATTAAAAAAGAAACTTCTCTCGGTTGATAATTTGATAATGAAAATAAGATTCATATGGATGGGATTATATATATAATATTGACCACAAAACATGAAAATAGAATATAATTTCGAATTGCAAATTCTAATCCAAAAAATAAAAAAGAGAAATTGATGGGGTCATAAATAATTAATTATAAGAGATGTTTTTGAGCGAGACAAGACAATGATATTATTAATAAGCTCAAAAAGACATGAAATATTTACTGCTGTTTTGGACCACGTATTGTTCTTTGTCTACCTCTGTTTTGGCCCCATTCCAACACGTCTTTGAAATCTTACACATTTATTTTGATTTTTTTAATATTGGCTTTATTTTTATTTAAATAAAAATAACTTTTAAATATTTTTATGAAAATTAAATAGATCGATTATATCTACTTTGAATCATTTTATGGAAATTTAATGGACCCATTATGTCTATTCGTAGATTTAGATTATTAGAATTGTACCACGTATTTTTATTATTATTAAAATTAAAATAGATAATTTATTTTAATTTATATAAAATTAACGAAATTAGTATTAATTTATTTGTTTTTAATTTTGAATGAATTTAATGATTGAATTAAGAAAATTTAGTATTAATATTATGTGTAGTTCTAATAAAATTAAACTAATATTTTATATTTTTTATAATATTTCTGAATCCTTTCATAATCCCATCCATGTTTACATGTATATCAAGATTATTTATATATCTATATATGCAATGTTAGCACATTTGATGGTTTGGGTCTACATTGGGAAAGATGGCATTGTACTTTATTGGAAGCACTAAATAATAAAAAAATATATGATATTTCATGATTCTGAAAATACACCAATCATGGCAACCGTAATCTTTTTTCATAAATGATTATATGTATTTAATATTTATGGTCCCGCACCATCACATACAAACAAGTAAATAAATATGGAATTTCATACCAAAAAACAGTTTACATAATAAAAATATGGAACTTCGCTGTTTTCAGTGTTAAAATTTGAAAACAGTATTTAGTAATTTTTGAAAATGTTTTAAAATTTATAGGTTTTATAGTGCAGTCAATTTCATATTTGAATGAATGGTTAATGTATATCATTCATTCCAACCTACCAATGTACCTTTTTGTATTTAATTTAATTTTTATGGCTTGAATTTTGTAAATATCATTGGACCATTTTTTAAAAAAATAGAGAAATAATTTGACGGCACATCTAAATTGAATATCTAGTAATTCGGTTTCTTTTATGTAGATGGTAAAATAGATAACCAATAAAATAATATTTTTTGTCAATATATTGAAAAACAAACAATTAACTTAACCACTCACATATTAATTTAAATTTAAATTTTTACGCACTATACGTATTTAATACAGCCTTAAAACTAACAATAATTCGATGTTACCTTACATATTGGAATTAATATAGCAATTAATGTTAAGTCGGTCATTAATATATGTAATTAAGATTGATAATAAAGGGTAGAAAGCCACGTGGATGTCGGGTGAATAATCGACCAACTCATAACACGAAGAGATACAGATAAAGAAAGCGATGAGACACCCTTTTGGAAGATTTGAAGAAAAAAATTGAAGTAAAAAAAAAAAAAACGAGAAAGAAAGAGAGGGAGGGAGAGAGAGAGAGAGGTCAGTAATCCACGTGCACCTGGGAACTCGGCCCCTCTCTCTCTACAAACTCTGCACACCCATTCATCTTCGTTTCTTCAATTTTTCAATTCAACCTCAAGCAATCTCTCTCTCTCTCTCTCAAAAGAAGAGAAAAAGAAGCTAAAAGCTGAATCTTCGCCATTAGATGCCGTGAATCACACACAGGAAATCTCAAGAACCGAGATTTTAAGTTTTACCTGGAAGGAAAAAAAAAAGGTTAGAGTTGAAGAGTGAATAAAAAGACCGGAAACCAGAGGAGATAGCTCTGATTTGCTGCAATGGTGGAGCTCAAGGACCAGGAAATGGGTGATGGGATGCAATGCAGCAACCATCCTTACACCAAGAACCCAGGAGGGATCTGTGCTTTTTGTCTCCAAGAAAAGCTCGGAAAGTTGGTTTCTTCCTCTTTCCCTCTCCCCAGACAGCTCTCTTCCTCCTCCTCGTGTTCTCCCTCCTTCAGATCTGACAGCGTCGGCAGCAGTTCCTCCTCCTTCGCCGCAAATCTCTCTCTGTCTCTCTCAGTGGCAAAAGCTGCGAATAACACAGGAAAAGAAGGGTACTGTTACAATGGAAACAACCGTCGGAAGCAGTGCTTCCGCCGCCGGATCTCTGTCTCTCTCTCTCTCAGTTGCCGTAAAAGCCTCGAGCAACGCCGGAAACGAAGGATATTATTATAGTGGAAACAACGGCAGGGTCTCGCACAAACTCCCGTTTCTGCTGGCGAAGAAGAAGAAAATGATGTCTTCTTCGTCTCCGTTGGCCAATCGTACGGCTGATATCGCCTACAAGAGGAGCAAATCCACGACGACGCCGAGGACGGTGTACGGACAGGATTTTAGCCCGAGAAGACGAGGCGGGTTTTGGTCGTTTCTACATCTGTACTCTTCTAAACACCATAGCAGCAGCGGCAGCACAACGAACAGCAAGAAAGTTGAGAACATTCACCATTCAAGGGCAAGATCAACAACCACCAGCTTCAACAACAGCAGCAGCAGCAGCAACCAGAGTGAGAATGGACTGTCTAAATCGGACAAGAACGAGGTGAGGACGAATCAGGCAGAATCAGGGTCGTCGTCTTCTTCGTCTTCTTCGAAGAGGGTAGGTGGAGGGAGTGGTAACAGAAACGGAATTGATGTGATTGTGGAAGAAGATGGGAGTCCTAATGTCGTAGCTGCGGAAACACCAGCAAGTGTCAACAATGGAGGTGGTAACTCCTCGTTTGAGAGGAAAGTGTCGAGGTCCAGATCTATAGGGTGTGGAAGCAGAAGCTTCTCTGGTGATTTCTTTGAGAGAATCTCAAATGGGTTCGGCGATTGTACCCTGAGAAGGGTCGAGTCACAGAGAGAAGGAGTCAACAAAGCAAAGGTCAACAGTAGTAGTAGTAGCAATGGTGGTGGTGGTGGTGGTGCAGGGATGAGAGACATGGTGAGATGTGGTGGGATCTTTGGTGGGTTTATGATAATGACCTCATCATCTTCATCATCCTCATCCTCGTCATGGGTATCATCATCATCAGCTGACCATAACCTCCATCCTCACAATCATAATCATCATCATCATAATTTGGTGCATGGAAGGAACAGAAGCTGGGGATGGGCTTTTGCAAGCCCCATGAGAGCTTTCACCAGCACAAGCACCACTAAAGCTTCTTCTTCTTCTTCTGGTAAAGATGGCAAAAGCGGCCGTACAATTACAGACTCCACAAGCAAGAACACTACACCAAACTTGGATGCAATCCCTTCTTTGTTGGCCGTCAGAAGCTGAGAAGAAACCCATCAAGACTCCTGATCACTCTGCGATGCAAAATAAGTACTTTAATCCTGAAAAGAATACTTTAGTTTTCAATCTTTTTTATGTGTTTAATTTTTAGGTGTTCTTTTGTTCTTGAACATTGGATGATGATCTTTTGATTCCCGTTAGCATGTATTGCCACACTCTTTTCTTGTTCATCTCTTTGCTTTTGACTACTTGGTTCTCATCATCGTCATCACCATCACCATCACCATCTTCTCTTTGTGAACAAAGTTTCGATGCTTCAGGAGAATGGAGATGAATGAATCTCTTGGACATGAACTTAGGATGCTCGCTCATTTCTCTGTTTAGTGTTAGATGTCGATTCTTTAATCTTCTATAATTTTTGGGTTAATGGGTTTGGATTGATGTTTTTCCTTTTTACCAAATTTAGATGCTTGCTTGTTCCATGATGCAGAGCCAGATGTGTTGCTGAGTATTATAATGATATTTATACTCTCTGCAAAAACCAGTCAAAGGACCAGGGTTTGACTGATAAAGGTGTTACTAATAATATAACGAGGGCTCAAAAGGCACATGCCTTTGCACATGCACATGATTCCATGCCTTTGTTATCTAACTGCATGCAATGCCATCATGACCATCATCATGCTTGTCATCACCTAATCCTGTATTAAAGTTTCTTGCTTTTTATGCAAACAGACATGTTTGAATGATGTTGCCCTTGAGATGTCAAGCATGATCAGGACATGAGAACAAAAGATCGATCATATTGATCACCAAAAAAAAAAAAAAAGATTGTAGTATCCTTGTCATCATATACTACAAACTATACATTACATACATAATGTGATATATATATATATATATATATATATATATATATATAATTACGGCAATCAAAATCTTAACGTTGTGTTTGTCGTTTTCTGATGAAGGATAATCCAAGATGGGACTCGAACTCATGATATGTGTTTGTCGTCATTTGGGGTTCAATGCAACACTTGAAATGGCAAGAGGGCCAAGACAATAAAAGAAGATTTGGATGATATTGATCATCACTAGATATAACCCAAGGTGTGGTTAGATCAAGAAAAATATTTGATGTGTGGGAGGACATTGTGGTCCAATCCAATTGAGATGAGACTGCAAAGAGACAAGGGGAAAATGCTGTCTTCTGACTTGCCCTATCTATTTTACAAATAAAAAATTTAGCTTATCACAATTTATTTTATTTTATTTTATATATTTCCATTTTTCCATTTGGACCCATCTTGGACTTTTCGTACATAATATTCCAAAATATGTATAATGGATTTCTTTTAGATGTGAAAAAGGATAGTTTTGCACTATGGTTTGGGCACATAGGAACCAACTAGGGCTCAGCAAATTCCTAATTTGGTATTTGATTTTTTATATTCAATTCATTTTCAATTAATTTAATATTAATAAAATCATGTCTAAAAATATTTTTGAATTGAACTCAATTCAGATATAGCTATATATTGATTGGTTTAATTTTTATATCTGAACCAAAATATTCCAACATATCTACTGCCTTATTAGTTTTGTAATAATCTAATTAAAAAAATTTATAGAATAATCTTTGAAATCAATAAGAAGTGTTCTCAACATATAAAATTTAGATATCTATAAATTTAATAAGATTAATCAAATATCCTATAAAATTCTATAAGATTAGTTAGAGTAATAAAAAAAATTTGGTAATATGCATGCCAAAAAAAACACAAATGGAGAAAACTAAGAGTAAAGCCCAAATAAACACTTGTGTACTTGATATAATCTTTAGATAATTATTCTCTAGTTTGCTCAGAAGACATGGCAGAAGGGAACCACGGATCTAATTAATATAATTTAATACGGTAGATATTTGTATCCAACATTTAATGATATTTTGTAATAAAAGAACGATGTGTCTCATCATTTAAATTGAGATGGGTCGTCAAATCGACCCACTCAATCTCTGCACGAGTTTATCTTCTTTGTACCGTATCCTACAAAGTCCACACATGCACATGCCCATAAATTGCCATGACCCGCACAAAACTATTGAAAGTGAAACGGCATCTCATTCTTGCTTGCCTGCAGGGTCCACCAGAACTGCATGCCGCTTTTACCCAAGTTTCCTGGAGACACCGTGTCGTTTCAGTCAATCCGGATAGACATGCAAGCCGTTTAGAGGGGGTTCGCAGAAGAAAGGGCAGCACTGAAATCCCCCTTGCAGCAACTTCAACATGAGGATCTCATTCTATCTTATATCAATGCGCACTAGGGAAAATTTTGGTAAACCAAAACCATTACAAAGGGAGTTTCATCATCATCGTTGAACATATGATCGTTCAACGAGTTCTTGAATTCCCCGGGCTGACGGTCCTTAACTCTGATCACTATGTGTTCACGGTAGTATAGACAGTTTGCTTGCGTTGGTTAGAAGAAAAGCCAAAGTGTACTTTACTTGATTTCAATTGTATCGCCTTCCCATGTCCACGGTTCTTGAAAACAAACTACTTGGATAATCGATTATAGATCGATCTCCGAGCCCGCATTCTTGAGAGGTCAATGATTCAGCCACTTCCTTCAACGACAGAGATACCCATCAGAAAATCTCTCGACTTTCTTCAAGACATCTATGATGAAAACACTCTTCACAGGCTATAAAATTAAAGTAAGCCCGAGAAGCATAGAGATATTGATAACATTTTCTGCAAGAAACTAGAGATCTTTACGGCGAGTTCTTATGCACCATACTTCAAGAAGGCGTTTGAGCATTTTCTGTATATATACAGGAGGAAGAGGAGTGATTTCAAGGAATGGAAAAGAACCTGAACCTGACAAAAGATGACCAAGCAATGTGTGTAGATAGAGGAACCAGGTCAATGATATGATGCGATCACTTTTGTTTTCCATACACCTATCTGTAAATTCCGACAGAAACCAAATAAGAGAGGGGCAAAATACGGGAGGAAGGTGAGATAGAAACCAAAAAGGTCCATGAACAAGAACCCTTGAACTGATTCCTTAAAGTACCTTCCTTTACGCACTCTTTCTTCGAGCAAAAGCATTTGACGTATAGATTTGCGGAACAAGAACATCATTGGCCTACCAATTTGCACCATTTATGCAGCAGCTGATTTCAGTACAGACTTCAAAGCTCCTAACTTCGTCCTATGAAAATTAAGTTCAAGCTCCAACTTACTGTTTTGGAGATATCTCTGGCCAGCTGTGTGAGTGGATGCCACCGGGAAATTTTTTCTCCTGTAAAACAAATTGGTGTTTCTCCGGAGAAATCTCGTGTGTTCTTCTTCTCCGAGGTTGCCTGCGTTCATGGCGGCAATGGGCAATTTCTGTAAGTTGTTATGAACCCAAAGGGTTTATAAAGCTTGAGCTCGCTAGGCCCATAGCGGAAATTAAAAAAAAACAGAGAGAGAGAGAGAGAGAACAATGAAAACGCTGTCCTTTAGATGACGCGAACTATTTTTCTGCGGTTTCTTTCGCCGATTCCGAGAAGGCGTTGTTTCACGTCGAGAATCTGGCCGGAGGAAGATAACTACGTCACAATTCTGCGGCGGTGCGCAGAGACAGGCGATTTGTGCGGCGGACGAGTTCTTCACGGTAAGTTCATTAAAGGGTTTCTTCCCTTCTCGCTTTTCGTACGGAACCATTTGATCAACGTGTACGTGAAATGTGGTGATCTGATTTGCGGGAGGAAACTGTTCGACGAAATGTCTGAGAGAAACGTGGTTACTTGGTCTGCCATTATCAATGGTTATGTTCGAAACGGGCGTGCCCGTGAAGCCCTTTTGTTCTTTTCGGACATGTTACGTGATGATACTTCTAAACCTAACGAGTTCACTCTGGTTAGTGTGCTTCAAGCTTGCTCTCTCTTGGAAGATTTGATTCAGGCATACCAAGTCTATGGTTTGATTGTTCGGTTGGGATTTGAGTCGAATATATTCCTCGTGAATGCCTTTTTGACAGCTCTTATCAGGCATGGCAAGCTGGAGGAGGGTCTTGAGGTTTTTGAGCAATGTCCTGGTAAAGACATAGTGACATGGAATGCAGTGATGGCTGGCTATATGCAGCATTCTGTAGAAGAGGTTCCATGGTTTTGGTACCGGATGACGTGTGAAGAGAGTAATGTCAAGCCAGATAACTTCACATTTGCCAGTGTTCTTACAGGGTTAGCAGCCCTTTCTGATCTACAAATGGGGCTACAAGTACATGCCCAGCTTGTTAAGCTAGGTCATGGGTCTGAAATCTCTGTTGGAAATGCTTTGACTGATATGTACATAAAGAATCAAAGACCGATCGATGGGTTTAGAGCTTTTGAGGAGATGCCTGAAAGAAATGTTTGCTCGTGGACTCAGATTGCTGCCGGGTGTCTGCAATGCGAGGAACCTGGCAAGGCGCTTGAAGTTATTTCGGAAATGAAGCAGGCGGGTGTAAGGCTTAACAGGTTCACTCTGGCTACCGCTCTAAATGCCTGTGCAAGTTTAGCCTCTTTAGAGGAGGGGAGGAAATTTCATGGACTAAGGATAAAACTAGGGAACAATGAGGTTGATGTCTGTGTGGACAATGCATTGCTGGATATGTACGCAAAATCTGGGTGCATGGAAGGTGCATGGACCATTTTCAGATCTATGGAAGATCACAACACAATTTCATGGACCACGATGATAATGGGTTGTGCTCAGAATGGCCAGGCTAGAGAGGGGCTTGAGATCTTTGAGGAGATGAAGCAGAGGGGTACGCAGCCAAATTACGTAACCTTTATCTGTGTTCTTTATGCTTGTTGCCAGGGAGGGTTTACAGAAGAGGGCTGGGAATATTTCGCTTCCATGACCAAGCATGGTGTTACTCCTGGAGATGATCATTATGTATGCATGGTGAATTTGTTCGGGCGAGCTGGTAAGATAAAGGAAGCCGAGGAACTGATTTTGGGAATGCCATTTCAGGCAAGTGGGATGGTGTGGCAAGCTCTGCTCGGTGCCTGTCTCGTTCATGGAGATCTGGAGACAGGAAGGAGAGCGGCAAGTAAAGCCATGACTTTGGAGAAAAGGGACTCTTCAAGTTATGTGCTCTTGTCAAACATGTTTGCCAGCATGTGCAGTTGGGATAATGTGGGGACTTTGAGAGATTTGATGGAGACAACCAATGTCAAGAAAGTGCCTGGAACCAGTTGGGTTTGATGGTTCTTGCATGTATGATAGTGATGATATTATCAAAACCTTGATGATATCTTTGGTCAGTTGTGGAGAGCTTTTAGTGTATCTCATTGTTCAAACCATTCAAAATTTCAAAGGTACGCACACATGGGTTCTGTGAAAATTGCAATCCTTCATGTATTTTTTTTTTCTTATTAGCAGCACATATAGGCATCGTGATATTGAGTATAAACAAGAGGTGGATCTTTGTCCTCTCACTATCTTTTGTTATCATCTCCAAAGACTAGAAATGATTGTCATTCATACGCGCTCTGACTATCGATCGCTTGATCTCTTGGACCGTCTTTCATGCAGCACCAAAGCCGCCGAAAAAATCAAAGTCCGGCATGAAGTCCCTCCATGGCTCCTAAGCTTCTACTTTCAGCTGTATATCCTGTTCGAATCAAAGACCATTACACCAATGGTCACTGCAATGAACCATGGAAATAAAAAAAAAGAAGAAGCAATATCTGTACATTACATGAGTAGAAGTTGAAACAATGGGTTTCTCAGGTCGGATAATTGTGAAGGTGTTGGGTTCATATGCGTATGGAAAATCTTACAATAGTTATGAGACATGAAAATATCTTGTGTTGCATATGTTTATGCCCATCCCATGTTATGCTCTCCAACAACATGCAACCGGGTTTATTTGAAACAACGGAATATAGTATGTTCTCATGTAAGGTAGCCAGAGTGATGACAGACAACAGGCTAAACAAGGAACAAAAGGTAGAAGAAGCGGCGTGGGGTTGACAACTTCTTGTTCCACCGCCGTTTCTGGAGTTGGATGCGGCAAGAATGGAAAAGAAATTTCCTGTAGTCCTTAATCACGTTATCCTCGATGCTGGCTCGAGCAGAGCTACCCAGTGGAAACTTCTCATCAAAGGAAGGTGATTTGACATAAAAGCTGATCCCAAGATTCTGGGTTGTCTTTGGGATCTGATAAGACATGTTCTTGTGCAGCGAGTAGTCGGGTACGGAGAAAGGTAGATAAGCCAGAGAGAAAACCAGCAAGAACGGTAGTATCTGAAGAATCGTTAAACGACTAGGTCCACCCCCGTTAGGCTCCTCCTGTCGGGGTTGGTTACGTGTCTGTCTAGTTCTATAGGCATGAGATTCACGGAACATGTCTCCTTGACCGAAAAATGCCCTGAATATCTCATCAGGAATGAAATCATCTTCAAAGAAGGCCTTTTGCGTATATGTCCTCTTCCTCGGCCTACTATGATATTGCCCCTGGACATGATCAAACTCATCAACAAGATCGACCTGATCATACTGCCTCCTCGAGTTTCCATCGCTCAAACATGTAAATGCCTTTGAAACTTTCTTAAAAGCTTCCTCAGAACCAGGTGCCTTGTTCTTATCGGGGTGAACTTTCAACGACAATTTCCTGTAAGCTTTCCTGATCTCATCAACCGAACAACTCTTCTCCACGCCCAAAATCTTATAGTAATCGTTGTTCCTTCTTATGTGCCTAATCAACTCGACATTTTCCTTGGTATAATCCCTTTTCCGGTCGACCTTCCCGACACTTTCTGGACTTTTCTGTCGAGGAGAGTGCATTGAAACGGAATCAAGCTTCTCACAGGCAGACACAAGCTCATCAGCAGATAAACTCGGGTAAAGTCGCTTAGCCATGTTGATAAATTTCACGGCTCGTCCTTTATAACCAGAGGCAATGGCATCTTTCGCGATTCTCAGACACCTTAAGGCTTCATCCTTATTACCATCCATTGTTCTTTGGACCCCTAGTTCTGCAATTTCGACATAAACACTACCAAAAAAAAGCCTTGTCCACCCTACAATTCAATTCCTCATCCTCCACGAAATCTACAGAGAACGGGAAATCAACCCATTACATACTGAATCGAATCGGAATTAGGGTTTCCCTTCAAAATTCAGAATATATTTACCACAGAGAAAGATGGAAACTAGATGATCATAGTTCAAACGGACGAGAACAAAGAATCGAGGTCCCGAACAGGAAAAGTCTCGAGAGCGCACAGACCAAAGAAGAGAAAATTGGTGATGAAGAATTGCTTTAGATGACAGGTGACAGTGAACATACCAGAGTCAGACGCCGATATCCGCCATGGGAGAGGGGAGGAGAAGCCGGTGAGGAAAGGGTTTGGGATTTTGATTCTTTGCTTCTTCGTGGGGAAGAGAGGTGCAGGAGACGAACAAGGAATCAGCGCAGACAAAAATAAAAGTGGATTTAATCAAAGATTAACCACAGGGGTTTCATCGAGGCAAAAAGACGAGTATACCCTTAATACGCCAATTCCAAAACTTTTAAGAAAGTATATGAACTTTCTATACTCTTAATGAATTTCACGAAAAAAATTAAACAAAATTTTACGAAAATTGGAATTAAAATAAAACAGTTAAATATGGATTTGACAATTTGTGGTCCGAGTTGGAAAAGTTAAAAAAAGCAGCCCCTTTTCTGTAAATTTTATATTCCGGAGATATTTTTCTCCTCCCTCCACACACTATATAAACCCTTCTATACCCGCCGCCCCAATCCCTCCCTCGTCGCTCTTTCTCGCTTCTGGTCACTGTTCTTGAGTTTCATCCTTTTTGCTGATCGGACTCAGAGAGTGACCAGAAGCAATCATGTTGGTTTACCAGGATCTCCTCACCGGTAATTCTCCTTCCTTTTCATGCTCTTATCGATTATTCTAAGTTTCGATTTGGTTCATGATCGAAGCTGTCATGAATCTGATGTTTATCGTATGTTTTCGTGCGTTTCGTTTGGTTCGTTTGAGATTTTGGGGAAATTCATGTAAATATTCTTAAGTTGACGTCGTTGCATGCTCTGTCGATGATCAATTTGCTGTATTGCTATATGTATTGGGAGTAAGGTCTGATTCCTGCGTTGTCGATTGTGTTCAAATTACTCTATTTATTTTTCTATTCTCGTTTGTTTTTGTTTAGATTTGCTTCAAAGTTTTGAGTTATTTTGCTCTCATAATTTCAGGTGATGAGCTTCTCTCTGACTCCTTTCCTTACAAGGAAACCGAGAATGGAATCCTTTGGGAGGTCGAGGGAAAGGTTTGTCGACTTTTTTTTTTTTAATTTCTCCTTCAAAGCACACACCTTTGTTTTTGTGTGTGTGTGGTTATTTGGATTCTGTTTGGTAACGTGATGGTTTGGTCTTGCATTCAGTGGGTTGTTCAAGGAGCTATTGAGGTGGATATTGGTGCTAATCCTTCAGCAGAAGGTGGGGATGAGGATGAGGGTGTTGATGATCAGGCTGTCAAGGTTGTTGACATTGTCGATACCTTCAGGCTACAGGTTAGTTTTACTCCATTAAATACATCTTGCCCTGAGTTTTGATCAAGAGGTGTCTTTTATCGCCTTTCTGAATTGTGATCGATGATCATGAGGTTAATATTGTGTATGTTCCTTCATTCATTGCGTTGATTAAGTCACTGAGATTGTTGTTCTGTCATTCCCTTGCAGGAGCAACCCGCTTTTGACAAGAAGCAATTCGTTGCATACGTCAAGAAATACATCAAGCTCTTGTCCGCCAAGCTGGACACCGAGCAACAGGAGAAGTTCAAGAAGAACATAGAGGGAGCGACCAAGTTCTTGCTGTCTAAGCTAAGCGATCTCCAATTGTAAGAACCCGCTTGCTTGTTCTCTTTCCC